TAAAAATAATTTTTCCAGAACGATTTGAAAATTTTTTTTGTCGCCGTAATATTTCTGCAGTACCCACCCCCTGTCGATATTTCTTAAAAATTCGTTTTTCATTTTTAATAAATTTGTTTGACGCTGTACGGAAATGTTGCCTAATACTTTTTTGTAGGTACCCATGAGCACTACTTCCGAAAAAACTTTCATTGAAATATATTCACTATTATAGGAGTTATGGCTGTTTGAAAATTGGACTTCTTTTATGGGGTTTTTCTCACTTTACAGGGTCGAGGAACAACTTCTTCAATATTGTTAGAATATCTACAAATTCTTCACAAAAGTACGCGATGTTTGCCGTCTGAAACGTTAGAATCGTCCAATCCGTTCAGAAGTTATGATGTTTTAAAGATTCGCATCAAAATTCGGGCAAACATTTCTGGCCAGAAATTATATTTTCGAGTAAGATTTTGGGAGTATTTTTTTTTACCAAAAATGCTTGTAATTGACTCCTGCAATCGACAATATTTTTTCCAGAACGATTTGAAATTTTTTAATTTCATAAAAAAATTTAGGCACCTACTCGAATTTTTTTCTCGAAACTGAGTAGGATTTCGGCGGTATGTGTATTCACCAAAAATGATTGTAATTGACCTCCGCAACCAAAAATAATTTCTTCAGAATGATTTGAAATTTTTTGATTTAATTTTGTATAACTTTTTAGCGAAACGTCAATCAAGAACTTGATATTCTTGATTTTCGTCTTATTTTGGCCTCTAGAATCTCCCATTAAAATTTTTCCCAGGGGTGGCCGAACACCCTGTATATTGCATTTGCAACTGCGTAATGGCATTTCTAATAATGGAGCAGTTTTCGAGGATTCAAAAATCAATAGTCCGTTGCAGGCTGAGCGCGTTATTTGTTAAAATTCACATCGAGTGTTTGTTGCATATATTTTTCAATCGTATTTAGCGAAAAATTGTATCGTCCGTAGCGCGTGTAATCAAATTTTATTTTTAAATTCGGGATTTCGATGTTTAATAACTTTTAATTAAAATGGCCGGTCCTCCATCTGAGTTAACGCGATACGAAATTAATTTAATTGAAACAACTTCTCACAGACGCTGCTAAAGGTACAAGCTTCGTTTTTGTTCAATGCAAAACTTCATTGTCTTGTACTACCAAAGATACAATAATTTTCAATCTTTAACATTACGTTTTAATAATACAAAGTTAATTCACGTGTAAAAAATTTAATTGCACTTTGCAACTGCATCGGTGCATTTGTGAATAAAGTTATAGCTCGTTACTGGTTACTAGACGCAACCCTGTATATTTTTGTTTATATCGTAGGATTAATGATAATTACAGAGAGCCTCTCATTTGCTATTTACATTATTCACTGTGATATTTAACACGCGTACTGCGTCGCGATGAAAATCCCGTCGTAACATAATACAAAGGGTGGCTACCCTTATCTCTGCGAACCAGACTCGCGAACCCTACCGAGTTTCGAGCCCTTTGAGCCAAAGTATCGATATTCACTTTACAAAGTCCATATTAAAGCTGCGAGAGAATAAATTCTCTCGCAGCAACGGCTTCTTCTTTGTCAAGGCTTACCGTGAATAAAGTTCGCGAGAGCATCGAGAACTTGAATGAAAATTGCATTTGTTTCGAAAAAGGGAATATCGTACTGCACGGACTTATCGAACGGTTAAAATTTATGAAATTAATAAATATATGATAAACTTTGTCGTAACTCCAGTGTCTCTGATATCGCGTTGTCGAGAATTTATTAAATTAATGCCCGAACAATTATTGTAATTTAACGACGCACAGCCATGGTATTTCATATCTCTCGTTAAACGTATATTCGAATTGGAGTTTCTATTTTATCGCGTCGAAATTTCTAACCGAATTTCCGCGAAGTACCTTAAATAAATAATAAAAAGTTAAGTTATGGTTGCCGACGCGAATGCGGAACACGCAAGTTGATTAAAAATATTTTACTAGCGCGAATCTTTGGCTTAAAAATAATACAATCGTCGAGCTGCAAACGAATCTCCGGACTGTCGAGAACGTTCGCTTAATTACGTTTCGTGTACAACAATCACGCGTTGAATTTATTGCACGGATTTAATTAACTTTCAATTTCAGCACGTTGCTCGTACATACGGGTACCGTAACCTTAATCCGTTCGCGCGTTCATAATTAACGGCGTTCGATACTGTTTAAAATTTAGTTAGGAGTCTGAAAAACAACGCACGAAAATGCAGTTAATGTTTATTCGTAATCGATAAAAATATTAGGTGTACAAATGAATAATCCAATTTTTTCAGCCACATTCAGTCTCTATTTTAAAAGAAAGTAAATTAAATTGTTCAATCAAAGTATTCGCCGTTACTTTCTATAACTTTAAGCCATCTTTCAGGCAGCTGATGAATTCCATCTCGGAAACATTTTACGTTTTTGGACCTGATAAAGTCGTCAAGCCATTTTCGGAACTCATCCACTGATTGGAAGTGCATATCGGATAAAGCGTGTTGCAACGACCGCACAAGGTGATAATCAGAGGAAGCAATGTCTGGTGAATACGCCGGGTGCTGCAAGACGTCCCAGCCAAGACTCGTTATGGTGTCTTTTGTATGGGAAGCAATATGTGGCATGGCGTTGTCATGCAACAATTTCACTGGACGTTCTCCTTTGCCAGTATACGGACGTTTTCGTTCCAATGACTGACTCAAGCAGATTAATTGACGTTAGTAGCAGTCCGCAGTAACTGTTTCACCCGGTTCCAACAATTCATAATAAACCACGCTCTTGATATCCCACCAAATTCAGAGAAGAACCTTCTTTCCGAAGCGATTGGATTTTGCAACCGATGTTGATGTCGGATTGACATAGAGTATCCACTTCTCATCACCCGTAACGATTTTCCACAAGAAAGACTTTCGACGCTGCTTATTGAGAAGAGAAAGACACGCTGCCACTCGTTGATTTTTGTTGGTTGCAGTGAGTTAATGCGGAACCCATTTTCCTTCTTTCTGGATCTTTCCCATCTCACGTATTCGTTTGGAAATCGTTTGCTGGGTTACTCCTAACTGTTCTGCAAGTTCTTTGCTTAAATCAAAATGCGCATACATTATACGATACAACACCTTCACCGAGAAAGGAACAAATCAATTCGCATGCTCTTGCAGCATTTTTTCCTTGTTGGAATTCGTAAAGAATGCAGCGTCGGATATGCAGTTTATCTGTTGCCATTTTCGACTCTACTGAGTCAAATACTTTTGAAGGTTATGTTGGGCCTTTCGCTAAACTATCTTTTGTTTTAACTAGCTATATGTCAATACTATATGATCGCAAAAGAGCGGGAAAATCTATTGACTTTAAACTTGATTTTATAACTGCTTAAGATAATTTGGATTATTCATTTGTACACCTAATAGTATAAATGAGTCGTAACGATATAAGAGTCTTTGAAATTTAATTCTGTAGGTTTGTGATTTCCCTGTAACTCCTATTATTATTGTCCAATTCAAATAATACAGCGTCGAGTTGCTTTTTATGGTTTTACAAAAAGTATAATAAGTATAATAAGTCCTTAGAAAAAGGCAGAAAAGCAAATTATTTTAGGTAGATTTTTTTTTATTTTTCAACATAATCTCCTTTTAACTCTATACGCTTTTCCAAGCGTTTCTCCAACTTTTTTAAGCCATCTAAAAAGTAAGATTTCGGAAGGTCCTCAAAATAGGCATCTGTTTGGGCGATGACCTCCTCGTTTGACGTGAACTGTTCTCCGCCGAGCCATTTTTTAAAATTTTGAAATAAAAAAATGTCACTGGAGGCCAAATCCGGTGAATATGGTGGATGTTGTAATAATTCGAACTTTAATTCCATGATTTCGGTCATCGAAACTGCACAGGTGCGCACCCGTGCATTGTCTTGGTAGAAGAGGATCTTTTTCTTTTTTTAATGATGACGTTTTTTCTTGATTTCTTCGCTTAATCGGTGCAATAACGACGCATAATGCTCTCCAGTTATTGTGTTTCCTTTTTCCGAGTAATCGGTGTAGATGATTCCGCGTGCATCCCAAAAAACTGTGGCCATCGCCTTGCCAACCGATTTCACCGTCTTCGCCCTCCTTCGGAGCCCGTTCGCGTTCAAAAACCCACTGTTTTGACTATTCCTTTGCCTCTGGAGTGTAGTGGTGTATCCACGTTTCGGCCACAGTTATTTATCGACGCAAAAACTCGTCAGGATTGCGACGAGAAAGTGCCAAAACAGCCTCAGAGTCGACCACACGATTGCGTTTATTCTCCACTGAGAGCAAACGCGGCACCCATCTTGCCGAGATTTTTTTCACACCGAATTTTTCGTGCAAAATTGAAAATACTGTACCTTGCGATATGCCTGTGGCCTCAACTATTTCGCGCACTTTAATTGGTCGATCGCTCAAAACCATATCGTGGATTTTGTCACTCATTTCGGGAGTAGTCACTTCCGCTGGACATCTCGAACGACGTTCATCATTGGTGCATGTACGGCCACGTTTAAATTCATTTACCCGATTGTAAATAGTTGCAAACACAGGAGTAGATGTGCCATGATCTTCATCCAACTCAGCTTTGATCTCTTTCGGTGTTAAGGCTTTTAAATACAAGTGTTTAATCGCCGCTCAAAATTCACTTTTTTCCATTTTTCTAAATAAGCAAAAGTTTCTTGCCTTAATGGACAATAAAAATGAAATCGTGTGGTGGATATAACTGAGAATTTGACAACTGTCTAGTGAGTCATGATGCTTACTAAAAACAAAAGTTTTCGATGCTACGAGCACCAGCTCTTGAATTTTCTAAGGACTTATTGAACAATCCTCTTACATAATCTGCTGAAATATCAGTTATAATTATTATTATATTAATACAGCACGTTTGGTGCTTGTGCAATGCCCTTGTTTAGTTTTTCACAGGCACGAAACTTCTTCGTTACTAATATTAAGTTGTTCAAATTTGTTCCAGACGAGGAGTACGACCAAAAGAACGTGTCAGTCATGCTCGATGGCCAGGAAACGGAACTGGTGATCATCGATCATCCTGCGGCCGAGATGTCGGTCAGCATTAAGTCTAACAATATCATTCGATTATGTAAAAGCCATTTTGTACTTTTCTCTCTTGCTATTTCCTGTCTCTCGAGACACGTGTTCGGAGACTCGCGTTTACGTAACGAAGATCTCTATATCCGTTTGAAAGTTCAGTTTCTCTCGAACTTCGTATTATCGTTGTTGCTCGATCTAGCACCCTCTACTCTTCGACTGAGTAAACTTTCTTAATATCAATATAGTTAACGATATTTTTAAAACACTCTTTTGGGATACCCAGAGTATCAAAAAAGTTACACCATTAAAATTAATTCTCTTACGTTGATCAGGTTGAGGCATTCTGTTCGACCTACAACCCGGACGTCTGTGTGGTGGTCTACTCTGTGGTGGACAGACAAAGTCTGAAGGTGGCCCAGGATACGTTGCTGTACCTTTGGAACAGCGATTACATGGCCAATCACGGTGTGATCCTCGTCGGGAACAAAGTCGACCTCGAACGGAAGCGCGAAGTCGCGTCAGTCGGTAAGCGCCGGAAACGAGGGTGAAAATCTCGTAGAAATGGATCATGGTACTTATACAAAACATTTTCTCAGTCATATTTTTTTAAACGTGGTCCTCGATGTCTCCGTTACTTTTGACGATGGGATAATTTGTTGAAAAATATCAGGTCCCCTGGCAAAGGAACTGATTAAATAACTATATGTATATAGACAATATTTAAAATATTAAACACAACCACTTTAATTATTCCTTAGATATTACATAGTTTAACATAAATCAATTACAGTAATGTCGACTATGCAGTTCGAATAATCGACTCGACTCGAACAAAAGACACGGGAATCCCCGCACGATCTTCAACCTTACCATAGATGTCACCATTTGGCCGCGAGATTATGGACGGCTCAACATAACTTTATAAAATTTTATCGAACCTGTTCCTGCATTAAATAAGACTAACAGAACCGTTGTATCAGCACTATAGTAGTAACGAACGAGGCAAGTTCACCAAATCGGAAACGTTCATCGAATATTCGTTGTTTCAGCAAGACCCCAGACCAAGTTGCCTTTATATTATCGCAGCAACTCAGTAACTTCGTTTAGTGGAATCGATTTCCACCGACTGAAACAGCAACATTTAGCCAAAATTCGTTTCGAAATATACCTCACGTGTCCCTCGTCTGTCCTGACAGTTGGCCGACGTTTGGCGAACCACTGCGGCTGCAAATTCATCGAAACTTCCTCGGGGATCGCGCATCACGTAGACGAGCTGCTGGTCGGCATTTTGGCGCAAATCAAATTGAACCCGCAGCGGGACCGGGATCAAGCGACCAGACGAAGAAGAAGCAAACACCGCAGGAGGATCCTGAAGCATCTGCTGGGCTTCAAGAGGAAAGCCAAGAGCTGCGAGAATCTTTTCGTTCTCTAACGTTTCACCATTGATGGGAACAATGTATTCGACGAAAAGATATTCTGTCTTTTATCGATCGTTTGATTTTTCTGTGCGTAAGGTATGTATAAAAAGTAGAAACGATATGCTCGTCAGAGAGGTATCGCGGAATGTTTCGTGACACGTCGAATCCGTTTCAGCGATGCACGAGCAGAGATCTTCTCACGAATTGTACGTTTCATTTAATCTTCTCATCACCGAACTAAACTTATGTCTTTAAATCCTTTAACAAACTTTTATGTTCCAGTGTGATTGTCCTGCGCAGACCTTCGTCACGCGTGTTCATATTTTTCGTACCGAAATTATTGCAGTTGTCGAGCTTCTTTCGATTAAAACGAGTATAAACATGAGCTTGCTCTGATTATTTTTAATTATTCAAATAATTTCTGATATATTTTCCAGTACGTGTAATTAAAAGTAATAGGAATAAGGTCGTGTCTGGGCTCATTTTTATCGGAAGAACCTCAGTAACGCATTGATAATACTGTCGAGAATTTGATCCCAGGTACGTATCTTATCCAATTGCTCGAGTCTAGTTCAAAGAATTGTCTATTAAATTCCCAATGATTCCAAAAAATTAAAGGATATACAAACAATTTAAAAGAATCAATTATATTGGTCAATAAGAATTAGTAGAGTTCACAAGGCTAACAGAGACATAGATAAATTTTTTCCATCGTTCTTTTGTCCCTAATCCATCGTTGAAATGGTCCAACGTGTTACGAAACACACCACGCAAATATAGTTTCTTATTCTTCGGTGAAATATGGGGCGTCTAACAAGGAAAGTCTCAAACCCTTGTCAATTTCAATGAAACTTGGCAAAGCGATAGATCCATATCTACAGTAAGCGTAACCATAATCATAGCTATAGATGCTGCAATTATGATTGTACTTATCGTCGCGTCTGGAACTTTCGTAAAAAGCGAGGAAAGTATTTTTACGACGTTGATCGTGTAATGTCGAAAATGATTCTAGACGATGAGGTCAAAGCATGTGTGGCGCTGCCCCTTTGGTGGCGAGCATAGGAGGCGACGCCACACATGCGTCCAAGGATCATTTCGTAAGGTAAGGAAATATTCTTTTAACAAATCGAATCAATGGAACGCAGGAAGCGCGAGAATCGTACGAAAAGTGTGATTTTTATTTTTAGATGCTCCATACGAAGCAATATCGTAACAGTATTGCGAGTACGCTACGACTAATGTTTTAAAAGCTACGATTAAGGAATGGAGAATGTGTCGTGGGTGTGCTTTGTCCTTGAAAATTTCATAGGTTAAAATTCTTACCGATTAAACGAATTTATTAAAAAAATTTAATACAAGTTGCTGTGTATTCCGACATTTTGTAACTCTCTATCGTTTGCATTGAAAACAAAAGAAAACAATATCTTAGAGAAGAAGAGACGGGTACACGAGTTTTAGGGAACACGCTCGAAAGTTTGCAATTAAAATTAGAAATTTCATCGACAACGTTAGCATTCAAAGTTAACATTCACGTGTATTTAAAAATAATCAATGTCGACGCTCGTTGTTACATATTACGCTGAACGTCAGCCCAGCACTCTATTAAAGAATTTAATTTGTACGCGTAAATTCCGTAATGTTCATGGCTCGTTATTTGTTCGGAGAATTGGAGATTTCTATTATCCTATCGAAATTTCTTCGTAGAATGGCCTGTTTCCTCGCACTCCTCGCAAAACAAAGTAATTCCAGCTCTCTCTGTCTACCGAGAACAGAAATTGTTCAAATGGTTAGTTAACGTACGAAACTTTTATTATTCGTTGTAACGTGTTGTCTTTTTTTTTTTTAACTTTAACAACGTTTTCGAGCAAACACTTCGATAAAATAAACTTTCAACGAAAAACGAATGCAGCGTTTGGTACTGTAATAGGCAGTAGGTGTTAGTTTTATAGCGAGTAAGGTATTCGTGAATCTCTTTGTTCTTAACGTAGTTTGTCACGATCGGAATGAAAATCAAAAAGAAATAAATACGTCTTCGCGGATCAGTAATCGAAGATTCGCCGATGACAGATGTACAGAACATCCGAAACATATCGAATCTTCAAGTTGTATCGATGATAATGAATTTTTAAGCCAGATCACGATCTGCATCGAATTTTTAATTCGGAGTAGGAACTGTGTCCAATTTTATGAAGTAATTATTCCGTTGCTTGAGAATCACTGAATTTTGTGAACGAGGCCAAGCATGTTATTAAAGGACCCCGCACAGATCTTATGGAAAATGGCCCACGGATAAATTAGCTGAACTTTTGATATGATGTAGTTCATAATGTCTTGATGAAAACTTCCAATGATAAATTGAACAGTTTCAAAATAAAAAAACGCCCAAAAGGTAAAAATTGGTTCTCCATCAAAACAATATGAATGTTGAGATTCTTATGGTCGAATAGAGAAAAGTATAAAAACGGCCCTCTTCAGGGCCACATAGTGTGCAAAATCCGATCGAACAACCTCCTCGTGGTTCACACTGGATAATGCTAATGTCGACGGTGCTTCATGTTTGTACAATGAAAAAGAGAACCAATTTTTACCTTTTGGGCGTTTTTTTATTTTGACTCCTGAATGGTAGTCAGATGGTCAGGGGGTCAAGGGATAATATTTAAGGGCCCACAGTACAACTGCTGAGTTTTAAGGGGTCAAATAAATGGACAGTGTACAACAGTGCTTCTTAGACTCAAATATGCTCAAACGCAGTGGTCTAGAATAAGGCGCACTATTATTGACTTTTGATCCCCCGTATCTCGGAAACTGTTCAATTTACGAGCTTGGGCCCATTGGAACTTTTCATCAAGACATCATGAACTACATTATTTCAAAAGTTCAGCTAATTTAACCGAGGGCCATTTTCCATAAGATCTGTGCGCGGTCTTTTGAAAGCGAAAACAATTTCTTCGATTACAAAGACAGTATTAAAAGTTGAAACGCGCATAACATGCTCTATAAAGAGATAATAAAAACTGTTAACAAACAGGAACCTTTAATATTTTCTTTTTTTTTTAATTACGTTCACTGTGAGGCTGTTTTCCAAATCAGCACATCTGGTCCTACAATTTGGTACAGAAACGAAAAAGCGCATTCCAACTTACAACGTAAAGTGTTAGGTACTCAAGTATTATTACTGTATAAAATTTTCGGAATTTGTTGTCAACTAGGCTTGATACCCAAGCGGTTAGGATATTCTCGATTGAGTGAATCTATTGAAAAATAAGTGTCATTATTTTAAGCTTCGACTCGAGGGACCGTATCAAATCTGAATAAAGTTCTTGTGTAATATATGTTGTTCGCCGTTTATTCGATGAACCCTATTGACGGTCAAAGCTGTTCAAATTTATACAGTTACTTAAGTATTTACAACGAACTTTTATTATTAAAACAATTTGGATTTGAAAATGAATTTCGTTACCTTTGTTCTTGCTTGTCTCTTAATTCCTTTGCTAGTCGATTGTTCAAGTAAAAATCAGATGTAGACGTTAACAAACTTTCAACAATATGGATCTAGAAAGATTCGTATTATACAAAACATTAGTCCACTTTTTAGAATTATTTCGTACCGGTATTTACATGAAACTTGACTTTTAGGAAATGTTATACAGGGTGTTTGGCCATCCCTAGGAAAAATTTTAATGGGAGATTCTAGAGGCCAAAATAAGACGAAAATCAAGGACATCAATTTCTTAACCGAGGCTTCATTAAAAAAGTCATTAAAAAATTAAATTAAACAATTTCAAATCATTCTGAAAAAATTATTTTCGGTTGTGGGAGTCAATTACAATCATTTTTTGTGAATACACATATCCTCGAAATCCTGCCTAATTTCGGGAAAAAAAATTCGTTACCGAAAATATAATGTCTGATCATGAATGAATGATTCCCCTGATATTTCACGTGTTTCAAATCGTTCTAAAAAAATTATTTTTAGTTGCAGGGGTTGATTACAATCATTTTTGGTGAATACACATACCCCCGAAATCCTACCCAGTTTCGAAAAAAAAATTCCTAAACGAAAACATAATGTATGGCCAGAAATGTACCCCGGAAATTATAACATCATAATTCCTGAACGGATTAGACGATTTTAATGCTTCAAAATGCAAGCGACGCGTATTTAAGTGAAGAATATATAGAAAATCCAAAAATAATCGAAAAGTTGTCCCTTGACCTCACTAAATGAGGAAAACCCCATAAAAATGGTCCAATTTTCAAACAGCCATAACTCCTACAATAGTAAATATATTTCAATGAAACTTTTTCTGAAGTAGAGCTCATAGACAAGTACAAAAAAGTATTAGACAACTTTTCTACAGGGCGTCAAACAAAATTACTAGAAATCAAGAACGAATTTTTAAAAAAAATCGACAGATCGGGACCCAATTACAATCATTTTTGGTCAGTAGACATACTCCCGAAATCCTACCTACTTTCGAGAAAAAAATTCTGTATTCTTGATTTTTGTCCTATTTTGGCCTCTAGAATCTCCCATTACAGCTTTTCCCAGGGATGGCCGAACACCCTGTATAATTTTGTTTAACCTGCTAGCAAAAAATGTTGTCAAGCATTATATAAGTACTCACTTGGATAACACGGCAATGGACAACAAGGAGGACAACATTTGGGTGGTGGAGGTAGTGGGAAACACTTTGGTGGCGGTGGAGCTGGCAAAGGACCTGTACAACAAGGACCAGGTGCTATAGGAGGCACACAACAAGGAGGGGGTGGACAACAAGGCGCTGGAGGGGGTATTAAAGCAGGGAGCTCTTCAATCCTGGGTGGCAGTAACATGGTGCATACGGGTGGCGGTGGTATTTTTGGACACTGACTATAAAAATTATTAATCCATAAATGCATATTGCAAATATACGTAAAAACGAACGTACCAACACTCGATCGCACAAATTAAATATTTCAGTTCTTCCATGTCGTTCCAACATAATTCAGGCTTTTTGTTGCTCCTGCAACTCATTTTGAACTCGACATGAAATTATTCCAATGTGTCCTAATATGTGTAATATTTACTGTTATCTTCTTAATATTTAATTTAACGTGTTTACGTCATTGTACGAAATAAAATTTTGAATTTTCCTGCCTGCCAAAAGTGACACAGTGATCCAGATGTAATATAACGAAATAAAACATTCTCGAATCGCGAACATTATGAAAAAATAATTACTGAAATAAACCATCGGCATTTGTTATTTTTCCCTATTTCCAAGATTTATGCAGAGACGCCAGATTGAGCACCGGGTGCACTACTCACACTATGCCAGATCACGCGTACGTGAGCTCGTGGAGTTTCGGAAAGTCGACAAAGGCAAACTGACGCATGCCCTCTTTCTCGATTCTCCGGAGCTGCCCGAAGTAATTTCGGACCGCCTCGTGGGAGTCGAGAGAGAAAGGCTCACAATTACCTTCTATAGGCACACATAAGCAAAGTACCCATAATGAAAAAAAATGTCAAACCTCGATTTAATGAAATTTGGCGACTAACACTTTCTTTGCTTAGTTACTATTGTCAGAGTGAATCATTTGCAATTTATGTATGTACAATCTCTCGTGTATCAAATGGTATACATTTACCAATTATAAACTCACTATTTTTTGTTTATATTATTTCGATTCTACTTATTAATATTATACATCAATTCTTTCCGCATTCTATTAAAAGGTGAAAGAAAAATGAATACGATTTACTCTGATCATATTCGGTAAATTTATTTAATTAGTACGCTAACAAGAAAGTACCAAAATATTTTTAAATTAACATATACTTTCTTGCATTGGTATGGACGTATTCTATTTTTGTTACGCAGTTGCACATAAGATGTAATATGGAAACTCTGGGTACAAATAGTTGCAACTTGTTTTTAATAGAAATGCAGGTGCACGTGTTCGATGGAACCTGTTATTCAAAGACTCTGGGGACTGTAGAAAACCTCCTTGCCATTTCAATGTTATTGATTTAGTATGGAATAAGAATACAACGCCGCTCACGGTGAAAAATAAAACTAAGCATGCAGAGAATTGCATGTACTTGAAAATGATGCAAACCCGAATCGATCTGAATTCGACTAGTATATCTGAATTTTTCTGGGAACTTATAATATAATTATAATTGAGGAATGATTAAATCCAAGCTGTATTGCAAGAGATCGCGATTAAATTCAGAGAAACATGTTAATAATTAACACCGATCAAATGTTAGAAAAATCACGCGAAACCCGATTCAGTTTCCGCCACGATTTCAACTCAATTTATAGTAAAAACATATTAATATTACACGAAAGCACCGTTAAAGAGTAAAACGCGTGTAGTAATGATGGCGAAGCACAGACGAGATACCTCGCCTGTGGGCGAAGTATCAACTAAAGTTAGAATATCGCGAATCTGTAATATCTATATTACAGCGCACTCTGTGCCTAACCCGATCGTCAACGTCGGTAACGTAAGGAAATTCACGAATTTTGTTTATGATACAATATCGACAATAGTTTTGACTAAAAATTATTAACGTAGTTGGGTAATGCAATTATTAATTAAAAACTAAATAATATTAGCAAATTGGCTGCGATCCGCTTTGCATAGGTCATCATAAATATAGAGTTTCTTCGCTAGGTTAGTTTTGATTCTCATTGATTCATCAAAGATTCTAGAGTATTGTCAGAGACGAGGTATACGAGTAAATCTTTCACCCAATGTATTTTTTCGGCCCATTTTGATGGGGTCTCGAAACCCCATTATCATTTTCATGTCATCTGCAACGTTACCAACAGATTCAAAAATTCCATAGTCAACTCACATGTATTTACGCAAACACTATAGCTATTTGTCTATCAATCCTAATTCAGTGAATAGTTTCTCAACTGACCACCATCCATGAGAAGAGGACGCTAAAATCACCTCCGAATTTTCAGGTCGGTATGGCAGTCAGATTGGGCCACGAAAGTCCATAAGTTGTAAGGTCTACTCGTATACCTCGTCTGTGGTACGGTCGTATGGTTCTAAAGTTAAGATACTTTTACATTACTCAAATTAGTTATAAACCATAAAATACATCGAGGCCTTAAATAAAGAAAGGCAAATAATTCAAGCTTTGCAACTCACATATATTCACCCACACTATACTCTGTTTACCTATCACATTCAGTGAACAGTTTCACAATTAACTGCCAATCCATGAAAAGAGGAGGCTAAAATCAACTCTGAATTTTTAGATTGGTATGACAGTCAGTTTGCGCCAAAAATCCAGAAGATGTAAGGTTTACACGTATGCCTCATATGTGATTTCAGTATTGCTGCACGGTAAAAAACAATGTTTTGGAAGACCCATTGTTAGATGGCAGTACTAATAGCACTTGGCTCTGGTGCATAGACGGAATATAAATGTAACGAAGCTTCAGCATTTTCGTCGTTTATCGTACAACTATTGCACGTTGCACACATGGAGCCGAGGCTAGCTACAAAGGCTCGCCGTCTTTAGAAATATCTTGCCCTTGTAAATTCCGCATTACAAAAGCCACCGTATTTTACACTGGCGGGAATAGGGTAAAACTGGCAAGGGTATGAAAGGCTTTCGCTGAGATTCGAGTCGTTGAAAATAGTAGCCTGTTGTTGCTGAGAGCATTCCTCTCCTTTGTCGCGGCGAACAGTTCTTCCTAACGGTGCAGATATTGGCCGCCGTTCAGCGGACAATTCATTTTAAAAGATTAAACGTTGCTTGAAAAACGAATTTTTTTGCAAATAATGCGAAGACTAATTATGTTTCGGAAAATTTTGATCTTGTTATTGTTCTTCCCCAGCGATAGGGTAGTTTATTGTTTCCTGGATGAAATTTCACAGAATTCGGAATAGGTTACATTTATTTCAGGTTAGGAATAATTACACTTCTTATCGAACTTCAAAATTGCACAAAAATGAAAACGTTTCTTTCGATAATTTGGTTCAAATTGAACAGTAATAAAATGTTATGTAAAGTTACAAAATAAATTAGTATTTAAACTAACGATAATGATAAATAACATGATGGATTCAACGTACAGAGAATATGTACATAATATCTTAAGTGTAAGATTTATTAAGCAATTACTCATTATTTAAAAAATAGATATTAATTATTTTCCGGTAAATTTGATTACGTTTTGTAACACCGTGTATATTGCAGTTTATTTTCAACAAAATTAGTATAGACCTTATGCATACAAATGATTGTGTCAAGTTGTGTTTTTATCTGTAATATATGGACTGTATTACACAATGTGATTTTAGTAATATATCAGAGGCTATTTAAAATACAACTTATTTTGGCTTCTCTCTTTAATAATATGAAGATTAATTCGTAACTTGAAGAACAAATTCTAAAGATATAAACTAACGACAAAGTCACTACACGGAAGGAAAAGTTTACGCGAAAATTTGTCATGTTTCCTTGACGAAAACAAAAAAATGTAAATATCGCTCAAGTATTGTTTAAAGCTAAATGCATTACTCGTGCAACTTTCGAAAATTCACAGAAATTACATAATTACGTTATCTGCTCTCTATTTGCGCAAATACTTCATGCTCGGCAAAGGAAAAACGCACGAGGTTGAACACATCATGTGACTGGTGTGCATTAAAGTGAAATCGAGTTCTTCGTATGGATTTCCTAAAACGCTTACAAAAGCCTCGAAAGAAATCAAACTCCGTGCACAATAATTCCTTTTCCTTTGTACGTAACAACCAATTTTATTTACATTATTGGCCAAACGTTTCGCTAAAAGACGTATTATTATTACGTATGTACTACGTAAGTAGCCGAAAGGAAACAATTCGGTGGCATTAATAACCTTTGGCAGCGTAGCTATCGTTTGATCGTGTAGCACAATAACGTATAACAAAATGGCGCCTGTTTTCTCTCGGTTATCTTAACATAAGATGAAAACAAATAAAGAAACGGGAGGAAAAGCCGCGATCGGACGATAAACAGTATACCTGAGAACGTACTGTCAAAATTTAGAGTCAATACATTCATTATATTTTGAGAAATCTTGACAACCAGTTCGAAGAACCCGGTTTCGAGGTAAACGCATTCTATCCTGCCACGATGTGAGCTTGAACAATCTGACAGATATTCAAACATATTCTGTAATTTCGTTGTTTTTCGAATTTAAAAATAAAACTTTGGAAACACATTTTTAAACAGTTAGACTTTACAAAGATGTGAAATAAACAAAGTTGTTCCCCTTAAATGGACTTGTTAACAAAATTTTTATTCAAAATATCGGTATTAAAACAAGAACAAAACACGATTACACTGCAAAGAGTTAATTACGGAATTTCAATAGCGAACTTTGTTAGAATATACACAATTGATTGCGCAAATGGAACTATCGCGTGTCGCGATATTCAACTATAACGTAGCTTTTTTTTTAAACTACTTTATCAAAGTTTACGTCATTGAAAACTCCCAACACCAATGAACTAATCTTCGCAAAATTAGGTATACATATAAAGCCTATCTTAACGACCGGAAACATAATCAGCATAACATCTGCAACCACCCTATTTCTATTTAAAAATATGTTTAACTCTTTTCCGTAAAATGCCGCTGCTTTTCTTTAAACCGTCGTCGTCTCAAGAATTTTTAATATTTTTTCAGCACCCTGGGCCCCAGCCATTTACTCGAAGCTGTACCATCTTCTTTGTTTCGAAACGATTCTTTACGAAAATATAAATTTGCTGGAAACACTTGTAAACAGGTGTGCAATTAAATAATTAATTTATGGTCATAGAATAATCAAGTAAAAATCTATATTTTTTCAGAAAATAATTTAGACGTTGCTCATTTTTGGACCCAGGACAAAGCAGTTTCAATGCGTTTCAGTATTCGTCCGTGCAGTTCGTGGAGATGGATAAACGATCTCTTCGTTTCCGCGAGAATGATCGAACGATTAGCATCGCGGAGACATTGCCCCCGGAATCTGAATTGAATAAATCGGCGTCACGCTCGGGGAAACCTTTTCGCAGAAAGTGGTCGAGGGTACAAAAAGGTTTCGTCTCGGTTTCTCTCTCGCGGAATCCCCTTAACGCGAGTGGATCGAACTCGGTGCATGCTCGGCGGGTGCTCGAGATCGCATCTTTTCACGAATGGTCTCTCACGTGATACCACTATAATGTCATACGTCGTAACGATCGCGGCATAGTAATAGTCCGGGAACAAGCCTGTCA